ATCAGGAAAATTGATTTATCAAATTTTACAAGAAAAAAAAACCTAATTTGAAACAATCAGAACAAATTGAAATACTGAATTTTCCTTCTGCAAATTAAGGAGCAAATTAACGAGAATTAAGATAAATCCCATAATTTCCATGTGAATATATCAACTTTCGAAGAAAACGGAATAAAAATGAGATTGATTAGCAATTTATTCATGCCTCTATGTGTAAATGTTTGTGCACAAAATAATTTTTATATTTTATAAAAATTGGAAATCATATACGAGTATATTGAAATGAAAGTAATGAAAATTACACGTATATATATATATATTAAATTTCGTCAATAACTTGAAGTGGAAGAAAATAATAATAAAAATTATCAAATTCTTTGAAAATAATTAATTAGAAAAAAGGTGTATTGCAGAGAGCTTTATGATTTTCCATATGTAATATGCATATGCACGGTCATTTCCGGAATTTTTATCTGAATAACTACTATTTAGGAAGACAATTAAAAGAGTGAAACATTTAATTTCCAATTAAATATATGATTAATTATAAAAATTATGCTGTGAATAGTTTCAATGATGTATTATGCTTTAAAAATTAGGTGGAAAATATTTTAATACTCAAAAAACTCAAAAATAAAAAATCATGAGATATCAAATTTTGAGGTTACATTGATTGGTGACAGAATTTAATTCAATTGATAAAGCATCCATTTTTGCTTTATCGCATCCTCTAAACAAGATTAATCATTTTGTACATAAATGTATGTTATCTTAAAATTGATTAATATATGCCAAAGTTTTTTAATTTCATTTCTGATTTTAAGTAAATTTATTATCACCTATAAATCATTTGCTTCAATTGTTTTCGTATTTCAGTAGGTAGAAAAAAAATTATTAATCCAGGTTTTTCTGCAATTTTTCCTTTTGAAAAATTTCCAAAGATGAGAAAACATACGAAATAAAATTTGATTTGATTGTGACATTATTCAAATTTAAAATTCATTATCTGAAAAATTATCTTGCAATTCTTGCTTTTTTATTTAAGATTTTTTTCTGTCAAACAATTTAGATTTGTTTATTTATTGTTTGGTTCATTTTTTTTCCATCTAATTTGTTCTTTTTTGCAAATTTTTATTTTTCTTTAGTCTAATTTCATTTATCATTCGCAGCAAGTCATAATTTATTTACATCATTCTATATTAGCAGAATACGGTAACAATTTGTACATTAGAATGCGATAACAATTATTTAAATGATGAGATGCAGTAATAATTCTTAACACGGGATAATAATATAAGGATAATATGCACGTTAGAATGATACTGATTAAGTCGAATTGGAATTAAATGTATTTATG